CCGTCATTGTTGTTTGGCGGGTCCAGGCTGGGGATTCGAACCCGCCACCTTAGGTGTACGTGGCTGGCGCCTTAGCCGGTTGAGCTATAGGCGCCAAGCCCCATTGTTTGTTTATGAACCATTATGTCATCTGTAGATGGACACATGGGATGTTTCTTTTTGCTATTGTAAACAGCGTTCCTGGGTACATTAATGTACAGTTATCTGAGTCCCTCTTTTCAGTTCTCTTGGTTACATATCTAGGGGTGCAATTGCTAAGCCATGGAGTAATTTTCTGTTTAGCTTTTTAGAGAATCACAAAATGATTTTTTGCAGAGGTTGGACAATTTTACTTTTCTGTGAACAGTTTGGAGTGGTCTCAGTTTCTCTGCATCCTGATATTTGTTATTCATCTTTTTGATAGTAGACATTTTAGTGGGTGTGAAATGATGGTCTGTTACTGTGGTTTTGATTTGTGTTTTCCTAGTGATAAGTGATATGGAGCATTTTTTTCATGTTTTCTTTGGTCATTTGTATTTCTTCTTCGTGGAAATGACTATTCATGACTATTCATGTCCTTTAGCAGCTGTTGAATTGGGTTTTTTTGTTGTTGTTGTTGTAGGAATTTCTTTTATAAATGCAGGATAGTAAACTTATGAAATATGATTTGCAGATATTTTCTTCCATTCTGTGGGTTGTCTCTTCACTTTCTTGGTAGTGTCCGTTCATGGAGAAAACATTTTAATTTTGAAAAAATGCTTTTTATCTTTTTATCGATGATAATCTCCTTAAGTTCATTTGTTACTTTCTTGTTTTCCTTTAGTTTTTTTAATCTATTGTTCTCTTTAGCTAATTGACCATATAAAAACAGTCAACTTAATATTTCTGACTAGTAATGTTTGAACTTTCTCAGGATTGGTTTCTGTTAAATAATTTTTCTTTTCCTGAGAATGGGCCATTCTTCCCTGCTTCTTTGAGTGCTTTGCTATTCTTTGTTGAGATTGGGACATCCTGAGTATTCTAATGTGGCACTTCTGGAAATCTGATTCTCTCATGCAGGGGGATTTTGCTTGTTGCCAGCTGTAAGTCACACAGTTTTTGACTTTCCAAACCCTCCCCCACCCCCCAAAGGCTTTTGTCTCCTCCTGTCTTCCTAAAAGAAGGTTCTGTCACTTTAAATATTTTTACTTGGCTAAGTGGCTGCAGCCTGAGAAGGCTGAAACTAGGGGTAGGCAGGAGTCTCTCAAGTCCCTCTAGGAACTACCAGAGCCACAAAACTGCAGAGCTCCTGGTAGGCTACTCCCTTATCAGAGATAAGCCCCTGGCATGCTTCTGTTTGTTGAGTTCTGAAATGTGGTTGATTCCAATCACACTTTCTAGTTCAGTGGTTGCCTCCTAGAATATCCTTCTCTGCTCTTTGTCGTGAAATCACTGGTCCCTATGTTGATTTTTTTTTTTTTTTTTGAGACAGAGCCTCAAGCTGTTGCCCTGGGTGGAGTGCTGTGGCATCACAGCTCACAGCAACCTCTAACTCCTGGGCTCAAGTGAGTCTCCTGCCTCCACCTTCCAAGTAGCTGGGATTACAGGTGCGCCCACCACAATGGCCAGCTATTTTTTGGTTGCAGCCATCATTGTTGTTTGATGGGCCCAGGCTGGATTCGAACCTGCCAGCTCAGGTGTACATGGCTGGCGCCTTTGCCGCTTGAGCCACAGGTGCTGAGCTGATTTTTTTTTAAACACTATTTAAAAAAATTATATCTTCATTAGCTTAATTTATAACACAATCTGCTTCAGAATAATGATAACTTAATTTTTGTAGAATATATATAAACGTTGCTCTAACCTTTATTCCTGTATGTTACACTTAGCTTCGTTATAAAACCAACAATAATATAGTTATTTAATAGAATTTTTATCTTTTTCTTGAGACACAGTCTCACTATCCTGCCCTTGGTAGAGTGCTATGGCATCAAAGCTCACAGCAACCTCACACTCTTGGGTTTAGGCAATTCTCTTGCCTCAGCCTCCCATATAGCTGGGACTATAGGTGCCCGCCACAACGCCCAGCTATTTTTGTTGTTGTTGTCGTGGTCATTGTTGTTTAGCTGGCCCAGGCTGGATTCGAACCCGCCAGCCTCAGTGTGTGTGGCCGGCACCTTACCCACTGAGCTATGGGCACTGCCCTTTTTTTTTTTTTTTTTGAGACAGTTTCAGTCTGTTGCTCCAGGTAGAGTATAATGGGTGTCATTATAGCTCACTGCAAGCTTTAACATCTGGGATCAAGCAATCCTCCTGCCACAGTCTTCTGACTAGCTAGAGCTACAGGAGTGTGCCATCATACCCAGCTAATTTTTCCATTTCTGTTAGAGATGTAGTCTTTCTCTTGCTCAGGTTGCTGTCAGACTCCTAAGCCTAAGCAGTCCTCCCTCTTTGGCCTCCCAGAGTGCTAGGATTATAGGCATGAGCCACCATGCCTGGCCCTAAAACCTTTATGTTTTAAAAAAGTTGACAAAGAAATGAAAAAAAAGCTTGTATTACCCACTTCCCGTTTCTAGACTTTCTTGTGAATTTGGTGTTGATCTCTTCTTGAATTTCCTTGATACTTACTGTAAGGCAGGTCTACTAATGTATGCTTCTCTCAGTCTTTATAAGGATTATAAAGATCTTCATTTCACATTCATTTCTGAAGAATAATTCTGTATATAAAATTATTAATTGAAAGTTTTATTCTGTCCTTTGAATGTGATTCCATCACCTCTGGATTCCATTATTTCTGCTGAAGTCATCCGTTAATTTGTATTATTGCTTCTGTGTATATGCTGGATAATTTTTTTCTTACTGTTTTCATGATGTTCTCTTTGCCTTTGACTCTCAAGAGTTTGTATGTATGTGTGTTACCTCTATGTTTATCCTGTTAGAGGGTCCCTGAACTTGAGTGGATTCGTGGTATAATGTTTTCTATCAAATTTATTAAGTTTTTGTCCATTATTTCTTCAGAGTCTTATTTTCTACTTGTCTCTTCTTAATAGAATCCCTGTTCCATGTATATTCTTCTATTTTTGGTATGTCTCAGGGGGTCTCTCAGTTTCTTTTTACTTTGAAAAAACTTTTCCTTCTATTATTCAGATTGGTTAATTTCTGTAATCTATTGTTATTTCACTTGGTAATCAGATTGGTTAATTTCTGTAATCTATTGTTATTTCACTTGGTAATCAGATTGGTTAATTTCTGTAATCTATTGTTTTTTCACTGATTACTTTTACTGACTTCTCAAATTTGCTTTGACCCTCTCTAGTGAACTTTTTGTTAATTCACTTTTCACCTCCACAATTTCTCTTCTGTCCTTTTTTTTTTTGCAGTTTTTGGCCGGGGCTGGGTTTGAACTCACCACCGCTGGCATATGGGGCCGGCGCCCTACTCCTTTGAGCCACAGGCGCCACCCTCTCCTTTGTTCTTTTAAAACATAATTTCTCTTTGTTGAGTCATTGTTCCATTCGTTCCTGTAATCCTCTATACTTGATTTCCTGTTTTTCTGTAAAAATATTTACAGTAATTTCTTTGAAGTCTTTGTCTACTACATCTGACGTCTGGAACACTCAGACATTTTCTGTTCTGTTTTTGGTTCATCTTGATTATATATCACTCTTTGCATGTCTTGCAGTATTTTATTCATTACTGGACATTTTAGATGTGTATACAAACTCTGGATTCAGGTCCCCTCCCCCCATTTGTTGTGTTTGTCTGTCTTGTGCAGCTGCTGATTTTCATCCTCCCCCCTTTCATTTTTAAGCCTCATTACTTACTTTGTTGCGTTTGTGTCAGGATGGCTAACATTTAGCCAATGATCCATAACTTCTTGAGCTGTTTTCAAACGTGTCCTGGTTTTTATTTTCTCTTGTGTTCTTTCAAGCCTCTTCTGCCTGGGCATAGAGACTAGTTGGCTGGGGATGCGTTGATGGCTTGGGACCCTTGAGTCTTTGTTTCACGTGTGTACAGCCTCTGATCAATGTGAGTTATGTGGAAAGATGACCCTGTGCTTCTCTCACTTCTTGTAATTCTGTGTTAAATTCCTAGTATTTCTAGTGCTTTGTTCACCTGAGACAGGATCGTGACCTAGGGTAGCAGATCTTGTTCATTTCTCATTCCAATCACCACTTTAAACTGAAAGCTCTCCAAGTGAGCTCTTCGAGGAAGTAGCAGCAGATCTGCTTATTTATACTGCTTGTCCCATCCTGGTTGAATGACAGTTTTGTTCAGCTTGACAGTGGCTTTTCAGGAAAGGGTTTTGTCATCTTCCTTATTTTATCATTCTGAAAATCAATCTCTACTCTCATTGGAATTTACTATCATCCTTTTTTTTTTTTTGCTGTTAATTATTTGCTAAGTTTGCTGTCAGTTTTTCCTTTGACAGAGACATGAAAAGTAGAAATTTACGTTTCTTTCATTTCATTGTGAGTGCTTCAGAAAGGTTAAAATATTTGTTCAGTGTTACTACTGTTGGGATTCCAGGTTTGGACCACTTTTCTCATTTGTTAAATGGCTGCAGTAGCAGTCCATACCTGAAGGCTGAAGATTATGTCAGTAAATCAAACCACTTATAGTCATACCCTAGCCATAGTAATAGATAAGTACCTGCTTTCACATACATGTATGTATTTGTCATTTTCTTCATTAAAATTGGTTTTTGGTTTGTAATTTCTTGGCAGTTAAATTTCTGAACTCTTGGAAATATCTCAAATTGGTAGCCTTTTTAAAAATCTGCCTTTGAAGTGACATAAAAATAAAATTTTTCTTAACTAAGTAGTAGTGTGTTTATCCATTTCCATATATCAATGAAATTTACTGCACTGTAGGTGGTGAGCTTCATTTTCTCCAAATTGGAGGAACCTGTGATGATATTGATGAAGCTGATATACTGGTGGATGGATCTCTTTCTAAAGGAATAGAACCATCTTCAGAAGGTTCCAAACCTTTATCAAATCCTTCAAGTCCTGGCATTTCAGGTATGATATTCAATTTTTAAGTTTTTTTTAAAAATGTGAATTCTTGTCTTATTAAGTTTTCTGAACCTGTTTTATATAATTTTAAATGTTATTTCACTTTTTTATAATCAACTCGTGATTGCTTTGTCTAGGGGCTTTATGTCCCTGTTGAGGTTCTTTTAGTGGGCTTGTTACTCTATATTCATTATTTTTCTTTCTTTTTTTTTTTAGAAACAGGCTCAAGCTATCCCCCTGGGTAGAGTGCCATGGCATCACGCTCACAGCAACCTCCAACTCCTGGACTCAAACGAGTCTCCTGCCTCAGCCTCCCAAGTAGCTGGGACTACAGGCGCCCGCCACAACGCCTGGCCATTTTTTGGTTGCAGCCATCATTGTTGTTTGGCAGGCCCGGGCTGGGGATCCGAACCCGCCACCTTAGGTGTATGTGGCTGGCGCCTTAGCCGCTTGAGCCACAGGCGCCGAGCCTTCATTATTTTTCTAGTAATTAGAAGATATAAGCATAATAAAATAAGAAATGATTCTCAGCCTGTGGTAGTTTAATCAATATTGATGAAGTCACCTAGGAGGTAAAAACATTATTTGAGCCATTAAGTAGTTTTAGGCTAGTTAGGGAAGAAAATATATGGAAGAGAAGAGAATTTATTGAGTAAGTTTAAAAGCAGTAGACTGGCTAGTATTATTGATATTACCACTGGAATTGAAAAGCTGAAAAAAATGTACTCTTGCTGAGTGTTTTGAGATGGTACTCACATTGTTCCTTTCTAAATCTCCAGATGAGGTTTTGTTTGTCATTTTTTTTTGGCTGGGGCTGAGTTTGAACCTGCCACCTCTGGTATATGGGGCCAGCGCCCTACTCCTTGAGCCATAGGCACTGCCCAGATTCTGTTTGTCATTTTTCCCTTTTTTCTACCCATGTTCCATGTGCCCCCCAGAGCTGTTTTTTCAAAAGAAGTAATGAAGCATGTTTCTCCCTGCTTAAAAATCATTTGCTTTGTAGACCTTTATGAAATAACTGTAAACTGTTCTCAGTTTCTAGTACGTAATTCAGTTTCATACTGTTCATGTGTTTACACGAGGTTCTCTTACCTTCCCACCCTTCACACCTACCTACATTACTCCTTTTGTGCTTTGATAGTGCTGTTATGTTTTACTTGTAGCACTTACCATGGTTTATTCTCTCTGAACCTAGCGTTTAAAAGTTTAAATCTTTAATGAAAAGTATGACTAAGCTCAAATGTATTTCTGATATAAATAATTCTGAAAATTGGTGTTTGATCTTTATGGATCAATTTTAAGTTTAAACTGGGTATTTGATCATTTTATTTGGGTATTCGATCATTTTTCCTTGCACTAAAAGCAAACTTTAGTAATTTTTAGGACTTACAATTATATAATACATGGTATTCTTCATTACTTTATATGTTAAGGTTTCTCTGCTTCAACACTATTTCAGGCCAGGTAATTTTTTGTTGTGGGAGGACTGTCCTCTTCATTTAAACAGCATCTCTGGCTTCTAGTAGCCATCCCCATCATGACAATAAAGTATTTCCAAATCACCGCTTGTAGGCGAAATTATCTCCCAGTTGAGATATATTGATTTACTATAATTAATTAAGACTTGAGTGTCTTGATTAGTTATACAACTTGGTAGAAAAGGCTGACATACTGAATATTTTCATATCTGGCAGGTTATTGGTAGAATTAGGACGAATTTTCACATTAAGTACATAAAAATACTTTTTAGTAGAGAAAAGGTAAATTAGGTTATAAAGAACAAATAATATAATGAAAAGGCACTGACACAATGCTATTATGTTAACAAACAATATTTATTATTCTTAATCAGATTTTGGGGGGAGCAGGCTGGAGGAGGGAGACAGAATTTCACTCTGTTGCCCTGGGTAAAGTACCATGGTATTATAGCTCACAGCACCTTCAAACTCCTGAGTTTGAGCAATCCTCTTGTCTTAGCCTCCCAAGTTGCTGGGACTTCAAGCACCCACCACCTCACCCAGCTAATTTTTGTGTTTTTTAATAGGGATGGAATATATATATTTTTTTCTTTGAGACAGTCTCACTTTGTTACCCTTGGTAGAGTACCATGGCATTATAGCTCATAGCAACCTCAAACTCTTGGGCTTAAGAGATTCTTTTGCCTCAGCCTCCCAAGTAGCTGAGACTACAGGTGCCTGCCCCAAGTCCCAGCTACTTTTATGTTTTTTTTTTTTTTTTTGGCATTTTTTATCCGGGGCTGGGTTTGAACCTGCCACCTCCAGCATATGGGGCTGGTGCCCTACTCCTTTGAACCACAGGTGCCACCCAGGCCCTGCTACTTTTAGAGATGAGGTCTTACTCTGGCTCAGGCTGTCTCGAACCTATGCCTTCAGGCAATCCATCCGCCTCGGCCTCCCAAGTAGCTGGGACTATAAGTGCCTGCCACAACACCTGGCTATTTTTTTGTTGTAGTTGTTATTGTTGTTTAGCAGGTCCGGGCCAGGCTTGAACCAACCAGCCTTGGTTTATGTGGCTAGTGCTTTACTCACTGAGCTATGGGCGCCAAGCCAGCTTTTGATTATTTTTAAAATCAGTTTTTTGTTCTAAAAAGGCATATGACATGTATGTGCTGATGTCTAGCATTTTGTGTTCTAAATAACAAGGTCTAAAGTTACTTATTTTTGAAGACAGAATCCTTGAACTACTGAGCTCAAGCAGTCTTCCTGCCTCGGCCTTTCAAAATGCTAGAATTACAGGCATGAGCCACCATGCTGGGCTGTAAAGATAATTATTGATCAGATTTAAATTGGTTTGCATTTTAGCACCACTACTTTTCTTGCTCTTATTAACTTAGAGCAAAAGCTGTGTAATATCTCTTCTAATAAGGTTGAATTTGGGTTTCTTCAGTAGTGCTGTGCTTAATATAATTTCAAATAATCAATAAGGAGTTTCATTCTGTGCCATTATTTAGTCAGTGCTAGTTACTTTAGTTGTGAATAGATACCTGAGACCACTTTATTAACTTTCAAGATATTTGGCAAGTGTTGCAATTTAATAAACAAAAAACATGAATTAAAACTTTATCATCATCTTCTTCTTCTTTTTTTTTTTTAAACCCATTTCAAATACTAAATCCACTAATGTTAAGGAGTTGAGTTATTGGTGGACCAGCCATTCACCCTTGAAATCTTGACATCTCTAGTGGAGTTAACCCGCTTTGAGACTTTGACGCCACGATTTTCAGCTACTGTTCCTCCATGCTGGGTTGAAGTTCAACAAGAACAGCAGCAAAGGAGGCATCCTCAGCATCTGCATCAGCAACACCATGGAGATGCTGCCCAGCACACTAGAACGTGGAAACTGCAGACTGACAGGTTGACTATGTTTAAATTCATATTATATATGTTTGGAGACTTTTAGGAGTTCCTAGGTTTATTGCTGTTTACCCTAACTCTCATGTTAATAACTTTGTTCCATCCATTTGTCATCTCGATTTTGGAAATTGCTATATTCTTCATTGTAGGATAAAGTAGTGAGAGTAGTTTACCATTGTAATTGGTTTCATTATTTAGTCCACAAATTTATTTAGCAAATACATAAATGCTTGTTTTATAAAAGTAGGCAATCTTGTAGGCTTTAGTAACAGAGTCTTTCTTGAATTTAGACAATAAACAGGTATATAATTTACTGTATGGTCATAAAAGCTATGAAGAATATTAGAGTATGGCGATGGAATGTGGTCATTAGACATATAATTGTGTGTAAGTGTGAGAGAGTGAAAGAAAGAAAAATATACATAGTGTTTTTTTGTTTGTTTGTTTTGAGACAGAGTCTCAGTTTGTCACTCTTGGTAGAGTGCTGTGGCTTTACAGCTCACAGCAACCTCCAGCTCTTAGGCTTAGACGATTCTCTTTGCCTCAGTCTCCCAAGTAGCTGGGACTACAGGCATCCCCCAGAACACCCAGCTATTTTTTTGTTACAGTTTGACTGGGGCTGGGTTCAGACTCGCCACCCTCGGTATATGGGGCTGGC